GTCGTCGGCAAAAGAAGCGTTTAAAGCAAAAAGCAAATGGTCGAATTTTAGGACGTTCTTTAACCGGATGCAATAAAATTTCGACCCTTTTAAATACAAAAGGGTATGGTTTGCCGCTTTTAAATGCTTTTTATTTGGGTTTGTAAAGTATTTGGAAAATTTTGCGCTCGCAAAAGCAACGTTTAGGCGGATGGTAATGGCCGTATAAAGTATAAACCCGACTTTTTTTTGCATGGCCAAAATTTCGGCGGGTATCGCTACCCCCAAATTTTTTTTAAGCGTTTGGCTGGGCAAAAAGGAGCGTTTTACGCTTTTATTCCCGAAATTAAAGGTATTAACGATTTTGTCGATGTAAAAGTCGTAGTACAGGGTTATTGTTTGTACCTTTTTGTCCTTGTTAGGAGCACGGGCGAAACCGCCCGGCAAAAAGCGGGGAGCGTTAAATGCACGGGCGAGACCGCCCGGCAGAAAAGGAGGAAGGGGGCGCTGGCAGCCAGCCGGGCACGGACCCCCCGGGGATATGCCGGCGAGCTACCGGTATCGCGGCCAAAGCATAATGGCGAAGCTAAAAAATAGGGTAAAGCTTAAATTGCACGAAAGCGCTTGGAGCGCGGAGGACTTAAAGGACCGACCCCGGGTGCCCGAAGGGGCACGAGGGAAGGGGAGGTTAAAAAAAGAACAATCTTTGTTGGCGATAGCACCTTTGGTAAAAGATTTACGGAGGCTTGACAAAGGAAACACCGCATCCGGCCCGTAACCCGGTAACCACCCGCCTCTGCACCGATTAACCCCTAACAGTCCTTTACAATTTAAACCCCAAGGAAAACTTTAAGTGGTCCTTCTTTTATTTTGTACTTTTTCCTAAAACCGTCCAATACTTTCGTTGCCATTTTTAAATGCGTAGCACGGTTAAAAATAATTATGTTGTTAACGTATAAAAAAAGGAAAACCTTACGTTTTGTGCTTATAAATAAATAGGGCTTTTCCGTTAACGAAATAAGCTTTAGCTTTTTAAGGGTTTTTTCGAAGGTTAAGTATTACAACTTCGGTAAATTCCGTAACCCGTACAAAGCTTTTTTAAGCCGGGCTACAAATCCTTTTCGGTAGTACCTAAAAAGGAATTTTACGTAAACGGGTATATGGTTATCGCTAATTTTTGCGTAAAAAAAAGCTTTGCTAACGTTAATTTAGTGCGTTTTAAAATCGAAATAAGCTATAATTGCTATTATAATTTTAAAGCTTTTGGTTGCAAGCGTAACAACGTAAGTTTTTTCCAAACCGTTAGGTTATTAATTACCTTTAATTACCGCGCGGGATTTATAATTTGTAACGTAACCGTTTTCGTCGAATTTATAGGTAAATACCCAGGCAATATCGATAGCTTTGCTACCAAATAAATTTTTCGAAATTTTTTTCCAAACTTTTTTTTTAATAACTCGTTAATTTCCCCGAAAACAAATTGTTTAAATTCCTTTTTATGCGAATGCGTATTAAATTTTCGCTAAAATTTTGGAATTCGTTGTAATTCGTTTCGATGCAACCGTTTATTTTTTTAAAGGCTATTACGCTTTAATATTTTCGTTACGGCAATTGCAATTATTTCGTAAGCCGGGCAATAGCCAAAGTTATTTTTTTTAATCGCCGTTTGTTAATTAAACAAATACGTATCGAAAAAAGCTTGCTAGCTTTCGTTTATTAAGCTCGTTTTAAAAGCAACGTTTTTAATTTTCGGTTTGGAAACGTTAAACGCTATTGTTAAGCCGTAATAAAAAATGGCGTTGTTAAGGTTATTGCGTTGCTTGCTTTCCTTTTTTTTTTTTTTTTTTTTTTTCCTTTGCGGCCGCACGCGTTGCGGCGCGAATCGCTTTGGACGTAATTATTGGCGAATCCGGTAAAAGCGCGTTAAAAAAAAAGGCTTTGGGCGAAAGCAAAAGGCCCGTCCTTTTACGGGGTTGGCTTTTGCCCCTTTTAACCGGAGGAAAAAGGGAAGGCGGCGCTTTTTGCTCGTTTGGGTTTGCTTTGGACAAACCTTTAAAAGCTTTAAACGCTTTTGGTATCGCGATTGGGGGCGCCGCAAAAGTGCCGTTTGTGGTTGCGATTGGCATATCCGGTTTTGGGGTAAGCAAGGACCGGCTTATTGCCTTATAAGGTAAAACTAGCCCTAACGGTTTTAAAGGTCGTTTTTTGGGCTCGTCGTTACCTTTACCCTTTACCGGCGGAAAGCTATCGCTTTTCCCGGGCCGTATAAAGCCGTAATACGAATTGCCCATACGTAAAAAGCCCGTATTACGTATTTGCTTTATTTTATAACCATTTTTTAAAGCATTTAAAATTAGGAATTTGTGCGCGTTTGGATCCGGCTTATTAGCCAAATCCTTTGCGGCTTTAGCTTTTATGGTTACGATAGGACCTGGTTTTTCCACCCCCGATTTTTAACCTTAATGCTTGGTAACGGAAATGGGTGCTTAAGGTTTTTCCGGTTGGAAAAGCCCCAGCGCATTAGCAATTCCTTTTTGGGTTGCAAGCGGGTTTTTCGTTTCGTTATATTTAACCAACAAATTGTAAGTAATTACGTTAATTAGGTCCTTTTTTTATTTGCTTTTAAAAAAGCTTTTTTTATTAAATTTAACGTTTTTTGTAATTATTACTTTTTTTTTAACGGAATTTAAATCCGGTAAATGTTAAAGGCTTGGTAATTTATTAAATATCCAACCCCGGTACGAAAGTTAACTTTAAAATGCTTAAAATCCGCGTTATAAAACCTTTTTACGTTTAAAGGATAAGCTTTGCACCCGTAAGCGTAAATGCCGTTCCAATCCGGTTTTAAATTGGTTATTAAACCCGTAAAAAGCTTTGGGGCGTAATGCCGGAACCACCCCCGAAATTAATTTAAAAAGATATCGTTAAAAGCGCGCATGCTTTTTAACGGTAAAAAATTTATATTTTTTAGCTAAACGGCAGCGTAAACCGCTTTTGGCTATAAATGCTTAAAAAGTTTTGCGCTTTTGCGCATGCGTATTCCCTTTGTAATAACGTTTTATTCCGTACGTTTAATTATTCCGTTGGGTTTGTAAGTATATAACGGTAAGGTTTCGATAACGATGCTTTTAATTTAAGCCCATTTTTCGTATTCCAAAAACCCTTTTATAAGTATAATGGACTTTTTTTGGTCGTATTTAAAGGTAGCAATAAGCAATTCGTATTGTTTTTTTACTTACGCTTTCCATTTTTTTAGGATTTTGGTAACCGTCGGTTCCTTTTTATTTAAAAATGTAAAGCTTTAGGTTTTGCCGTTATATTTGTCCATTAATAGCAAAACTTAATTTATTTTTAATTTCGATTTAAGGTAATTAAATAGGTTAAACCAAACCTTTTAAAAAGGGCGCATGGCCCTTTTTATAAAGCGCTTGGAAACGACGGCTATAACATAAATTATTGCGCATGCTTTGCATTTAATCCGTTTGGGTTTTTTGATTTTAACGTTCCGGGCGTTTCAAACAAAAGTTTTTAGCGTTTGTAATCCTAAATAACCATTGCGCAAGTGCTAAAAATCGGCGGTATCTTTTCGCGGTTTCGTAAAGTTCGAAAATGGACGTTACGTATGCGTAGCACGCTTGCGGCGTAAAAATTTTTTAATTGCAAAGGTTAAAACCGTATTTTTTAAAAAAAATTGCAACGTGGTTAATACAAAATAAATAGCAATAAGTTTGTATTTATAAAACATTACGTTATTTTTGCGTTAAAAGCGTTTAATTATTTTCCCGTCGGTAACCTTTTTAATGCGCAAAATCGCGTTTTTCCCGTAAAATTACACCCTTTTAGCGTTTAAGCGGGCTTTCGAAATAATATTAATATAAAAGCCTTTTATTAAAACGACGTTATAAAGCTTAAGGTTTCCGTTTCCGTTTAAAGAGCCAAAAAGCGTACGAATGCTACGTTCCAAAATCGAAAGGTATTAAATGCCGCATTAAACCGTTTCGGTACCGTTTAACGACTAAAACGACTTTTTATCGAAGCGCTTTTTATTGTTAACGATATAAAGCGAACCGCAATTATCGAATAACGTGCTTTCGAAATAAATGTTTTTTATAATATCGAAAGCCAAAAAAACGCTTTAAGGCAAAAGCACTTTAAGTACGGCCGCGTTTAAATTTTACTTTTTTTTTAAAGCTCGGGGACCGAAATTTAACGCGTTTTTGGTTTGCTTCCCCCAAACGGAATTTTTAAACTTGCTTTTGGAAAGGAAGGATTTTTTAAATAATTTTTAGCGGTTTTTTTCCAAAAACTTTTTAATTTTTTTGCACTTTTCGTTGTTTGGCTTATTGCGAAAGCGTTCGGAGTTGCCGGTAAGCACGTAAACGAGCTTCCAATAATTTTCCGGCTTTTAGGGATAGTTTTAAATGCAAACCGGGCATCCGTACGTTATTGCGTTATTTTGCTAAATGTTTTTAGCTTTTTCGTTTTTATTTTTAAATGCGCCCCCAAAAGTTAAAAACGCGAGCTTTTTTTTAATGCCCGAATTATTAATGCGGTACTAAAAAAAAATCGTTAAAAATTTGGTAATTAAAATATCCATTTTTCCCGTAAAATCGCCCGTAATTATTTTTTAACGGTAGCGCTTTGCCCAAAAAGGGTTAAAACGTTCCATATACTTAAAAAAGTTAAGCATAAGCGTAAAGCTTTATACTTTAAAAACGTTTTTAATTTTGGTTTAAATAAAAATCGCTTAAAACTTTAAAAACCATTGGTTAACATTTATAATGCTAGCGGCCTTTTTAAACGTATTGCGGTACTTTTAAAAAATTATTTAAATTTTTATTATGGAAGTGGGAACGTAAAACGTTTTTAAGCAAATAATGGTGCTACAAAAAGTAACGTAATTATTGGCTTAAGCTTTTAATTGCGCGTTTGCAAGCGCGATAAGGTTTACAAAAAAGTTAATCCATTTAAAAAGGGTTGTAATTTTTTTCGAAACGGTTTTGCTCGCGGTATCCCTTGCTTTAAGCGCTTTTTTGTGCTTGGTTTTAAAATTACCTTCGGTAAAAACCGAAAAGGCTTGGAAAGGTTCGGGATTAAATTTTTGCGTAGCTTTGCTTTTGCCTTGCCAAGCTTTTAAACGAACCTTTTTTTTTTCGGTCGAAAAAATCGTTTGCCAAGCCAGGCGTTTAAATTTATGGTTTTTAACGTGCTTGGCCCGGGCCTTTGCTACGAAAAAGTCAAAATTTAAGGTTTCGTCGGCCTATACGTCGTTCGGAAACTTTAAATTAAGGTTAACCTAATTTTAAATCCTTAAAATTAATGCGTTTTAACGAAACGCCGTAAATTACGTAAACCATTGTTCCTAATTTTTAAGCAACGTTATTACGAAAAAATCGTTATCCGTACTATTTATAACTGGTAGCAACCGGAAGTTCGTAAAAGTAAAGCGGTAAAAAACAAGGGGTTGGAAGCTTTAAAAGCGTAAAAATGTAAAAGTTAAAAAAATAAAATTTAATAAAGGTTTTTAGCAACGTTCGGAATTAACAACGAAATTTGCTTCGGCAAAAAAAATTTTGTCGAAGGAGGTTTTAAAAGCGTAGGAATTTTTCCGTAAAAAAATTGCGGAAAGGAAAAGGTGGATAAACGCGCTTGGAAAAGCGCGTTTGGGAACGATTTAATAAAGGTAGTAAAAAAGGAATAAATCCGTGCTGCTAAGCCTTTTACTTTACGTTAAAGGGTTTAAAAGTCGCCGGGCTCATAATTGTTGCAAGTAAAAGGGATAAGCACGGTGTAAGGCTATTTCGGTTAATATGCTCTAAGGAAAAAAGGATTTAAAGTGCAGGGTCCCGTAGGGGCCTCTGCCCTTTATATACACGTAACTCCCTGTCCTCTTTGCTTACTAAGCTTCCCTCCTAACGCCTGGAAGCGTCATACGCTTCCAGGCAGGGGGACCGCTCTTCCGATGCCTCAGGCATCTGATATTTATGCCTAAGGCTTCCTCATGACAGTATATACTGTCTACTTTGTGACATGACTGAATGAGGAGCATTTGTTTTGTTGATATTTGTTGGAGGTTGCTGCGCCGAGTCTTGGCCAACATCAAAACATAACATGGTACGAACGCAGAGGATGTTGCGTTCTGTCAACTTGCATATTCAATGTTAATAGGACTGATTGTGATGATAGGCATGGGCATGTGGGATTAATCAAGCAGAATCAGACGAGACGCATCACATGTCGTATTCAGTATAGTGAAAACCTGCGACATTCCCTCCGTTATCTACCTCTTGTGTTTCGAGTTGGAGCTGGAGGCATTCATGCAGCAATAGTCCAAGCGGGAGCAGTCACGTGTCACGGCAAGTAAGTGGCAAGGAGGAGGTAGAAGGCGCATGCTCAAATGTGATAGGCGAGGGGGAAAATCCTAGCACAGTAGATGAGGTATATAAGAATAAGAATCTTTTGCGTGAGGTCCAGAGTATAATAACAGATAAATTGTAAATATCGTGATGTGAATGGGTGTATATTGTTTCGCGGCTGTTAATATCTGCACCTAAGTGCATGCTCCTGGTACGTACCTCCCATCGGCCTTCGATTGGCGGGACCAAGCTCTGGCGGGGGTCCAGCTGCTACGTCCGACCTTCCCAGCGGGACCCTCCAGACACCACAAGGCTGCCGCAATACGTAAGGTAGGCACCACCCCGACCCCGAGCTCCCACCTCACAACCACCGCCGCCGCCACAACGTCGACGAGGCCGAAAACTGGCGACCGATCATCACCACACCTTGTAGACGGCTCCATACCCTCAACCGCCCAAGATGCCCGGCTTCGACTTCTCAAACGTCAACCGCAATAACGCGTTGCACGCCCGCGGAGTGCCGCTCCCCAAGGCCACGAGCACGGGCACCACCATCGTCGGCTGCATCTACGATAACGGCGTCGTGGTAAGTTCTCCGCGCAGGAGCCCCGATCAGACGCGAGCGCTGCCACCGGACCCGTCCTCTCATCCTACGCCCCACCACCACTGACAGGAGTCGCCTCGGCTTGCTTGGCTTGACAGATCGCGGCCGACACCCGGGCGACGAGCGGGCCGATCGTGGCGGACAAGAACTGCGAGAAGCTGCACTACATCTCGCCGCAGATCTGGTGCGCGGGCGCGGGCACGGCGGCCGACACCGAGTTCACGACGGCCATCATCTCGTCGCAGCTGGAGCTGCACTCGCTCTCGACGGGCCGCAAGCCGCGCGTGGTGACGTGCATGACCATGCTCAAGCAGCACCTCTTCCAGTACCAGGGCCACATCGGTGCCTACCTGGTCGTGGCCGGCGTCGACCCCACGGGCACGCACCTCTTCACGGTGCACGCGCACGGCAGCACCGACAAGCTCCCCTACGTCACCATGGGCTCCGGGTCGCTGGCCGCCATGTCGGTGTTTGAGACGCAGTGGCAGGCCTCACTGGATCGCGACCAGGCGATCAAGCTGTGCAGCGACGCCATCCAGGCCGGCATCTGGAACGACCTGGGCTCGGGCAGCAACGTCGACGTGGCCGTCATCACGGCCGACAAGACGACGCTGCTGCGCAACTACATTACCCCCAACGAGCGGTCGCAGAAGCTGCAGACGTACAAGTTTGCGCGCGGCACCACCGCCGTCCTCAACCAGAGGATCGTGAAGAAGGGCGAGCTGAGCAACCTGGTCAGCGTTACCGAGATACCACCCGCGACGGAAGGCATGGAGATCGACTCATGAGCGTGTCTGTTATGCTGGCATGGATCAAGAGCAGAGGGCACGTACGGCAGCGTGGGGCGCAGGGTCATACCTACTGGCCAAGGGGGCCGTAATGTCATGTACCTCCTCCACGCCCGAGAGAACGGCCTTGGCTAGGGACGGGGGCAGGTTGCGCTTGGGCATGGCGGTAATGCTACCAAACAAACAGATGGACATGACCGACATGGTAGATCGCCGCATCATGAATGGCGAGCGCCTTGCATGTAACTCTATGACTCCTGGGTCTGAAATAGACGGCGTTCTTTTCTTGCATTTATTCGCATTCCACCTCTCTGTTCCCCGGTTCAGTGAATGCTACGGCGTAAACTACTTGGGTGCTAAGGACTCAGGTAATCGTTAGTTCTTGCCATAGTAGTACGCATGTGCCTGTCGACCCAGGGCATACTTCAAATATTATATATGAATCTCTTGTTGGCACATGTATGTTTCCATCAAGAGTTGAGGCTACCCACTACCTCCCACCTAAGCTAGACATGCCACTATCTGGGTGATGGCATTGATTGTTTCTGGGCCCACGGTGGCCCAAGCTTCATCGCTTGCCGGAAACTTCAGCTGCAGGGGTTCTACGATTTTCTCAATCGCGCCGGCCCACTTTTACGCCCAGCGCGTCCTTCTTTTCCCAAGGCACGCAACTCCACGGTTACGATATTTGGGATTCCAGCCAACACCCAGCACCCGAGCGATTCACGAAACCCACTCGATGCGAAGCTCGGATAGCTAGCAGGACACCGGTCAACTCCCCAAGAGGCGGATACTTGGTGGCAGCTATGGCCTTCAGCGGCTTCGCTGGCGCCTCGCCGGCCGCAGGAGCTGCAGCCCAGGCGACGAATCTCGAGGTCATCCAGACCGAAAGCCTCGGCTTCCTCACGATTGCCGGCGACGCAAAGCTTCAGCTGACGCCGAAATGGACCGACCTTCCCTCCCCGACCGCATCCCTGATCAGCATCGCCCCCAAAAAGGGCCTAATCGCCGCCGCCGGGCCCGACGCAGTCCACATCGCAACCACCGAGTCCGTTCGCAAGGGCTTCGAGGCGCCCAAGCCCGATGAAGAGAACGAAGTCCGCCCGTTTGAGCCCCAGGCAAAGCTCCCGCTGCCCGTACGCATATCACAGCTAGCCTTCACGGCCGATGAGCAGTACCTCGTCATCTCGGCGGAAACCGGTGGCGGTCTAGCCGTGTACGACGTCCAGTCGCTCTCACAGGGCTCGACCCAGCCGGCCATGGAGATATCGACCAGCGGCGAGACCCTACGCGCCCTTGTGCCCAACCCGATGCCCGAACTGGCCGAGCTCGTCATCGCCGTCACCAACAACGGGAACCTGCTGATCGCCAACCTGAAGACGAGAGGCCTGGTCTCGGGCCCCAACGGGGCCGTGCTTCGTGGCGGTGTCTCCTGCGCCGCCTGGAGCACCAAGGGGAAGCAGCTCGTCGCCGGCCTGGCTGACGGATCGATTGCGCAGATCAAGCCGGATGGCGCGCACCAGGCCGACATACCCAAGCCGCCTGCCCTGGGCGATTTCCATGTCGCGTCCGTGGTTTGGCTGGAGAACCATGTGTTCATGGCGATCCACAACGCCACAAGCGATGACAACACTTCGGCCTACCATGTCATCACCCGGCAACAAGAGAAGGGCGCAGCGCCAACCTTCACTTTCCAGAAGTTGACGGACCCTGTGGAGCCATATACCTTCGACAAGAAGCCTCACCATACCATAGCAAGGCTGAAGGATTTCCCGCCAAACCTGCAAGATGTCCTCCTGGTCTCCTCCACGTCGAGAGAGGCGATAGGTCTTCTGACCCGGTCCAAAACCCCGCTGACCAGCGACGTCCCTGCCGAGAAGATCACCAACGTCTTTACTACTACCGAGTTCGCCGACGACACTAAGCGGGCTCAACTCCCAATGGGGGAAGACTTTATGGACACATTCCCGATCGGAACGGCTCTCGACTTGTCCAGCAAGGCCAAGGTGTTCAAGCCAATCCCGACGGACGAGATCGAGGAGTCGCCTGGCCCGCTACCCGCGCTCTGGGCGCTAAACAACGAGGGCGTCTTGGCCGTCTGGTGGATCGTCTACAACGACTCCATTCGCGAGGGCTCGACATACCCAGGCATCGCGACCGCCCAGAGTGACGCTCCTCCAGCTGCCACCGTGACGTCTCCAACAAGGCCTGGTGGCTTTGGCTCACCGGCTGCTGCTTCTCCGGCGCCGGGTGGGTTCGGTTCACCCGCGGCTGCGGCGCCAGCGTTTGGAGGCGCCCCGGTACTAGGTGCAAAGGCATCTCCCTGGGGTGCATCGTCAACTAGTACCCCCTCGACTGGCACGGCCTTCGGTTCCACCGCCTTCGGAGGCAATACGTCTGGTGCCTCGGGGTCAACATTTGGAGCCCCTGCTTTTGGATCGCCATCCGCTATTGGCGGACAAGCGGTATCCGCTTTTGGTCAGACCTCTTCGTTGGGTGGCTTGGGAGCGGCCAAGGCATCGCCCTGGGCGACAGGGGCCTCATCCACTGCTGGGGCGGCGTTCGGCCAACCTGCCTTTGGCAGCGCCGCCGGGTCTGCCGATGCCAACAAGGTTTTCGGCAGCGCCGCCACATCATCGACCCCCGCCTCGGGCGGTTTCTCGGCCTTTGCCAGTGGGGGTGGCTTTGGGGCGCTTGGCGGTGCCAACAGTGGCGGTAGTATCTTTGCGTCTAGCAAGCCGTCAGGATCGTTTGCCTCAGCATCGCAGGATATGGCAATGGATCAGAACACGTCATTCCCTCCCCCGGCTGCCAAGGCCGCTGGCGGCAGTGGTGGCGCTCCCTTTGGTTCTAGCCCCTTCGTTCTTGGTACGACCTTCAAGCAGGATCCCCAGACTGCCCAAGACAACGAGAAACCGTCGACAGGGTCCGGGGGTGGCTCTCTCTTCGGCTCCGGATTTGGTCTGTCGCTGGGAGACGCAGCCAAGTCACCACCTGCTGCTGCTCCCAGCCCAGAATCGAAGGAGGTCACCATGGAGGCGGAGAAACCAGCCCCTGCCGAACAGAAGCCAACCAGCATTTTCGGCACCCCCGTCGGCGCGCCTGCTCAACAGAATCCGGTCGGCCTGTTCGGATCCGCTTCCAACGCGCCCACCGAGCCGAAACCAAGCGGACTCTTCGGGTCGGCTCCTACCACGTCTAGCCTCTTTGGGTCGAACCCGAGCGCCTCCAAGTCGGTTTTTGGCGCGCCGTCGGGATCAGCGATATCGAATGAGAAACCAAAGACAACCGAAGCGGCGGTACCCCCGGGCGAGGGCGACAAGCCCAGCAACCCTTTCGCGCCCAAGACCTCAGCTCCGCCAGCCCAGAACGACAAACCGAACCCATTCGCACCCAAGAGCCCAGAACAGAAGGACAAGCCAAACACGTTCGGCCCTGCATTGGGTTCTTCAGACATCAAGCCATCCATCTTTGGCAACAAGGGCGACACAACTACACCGCCGGCGACGAGACCTGGCCTGTTTGTCGGCGCAGGCCCGTTTGGCGCATCCACAACGCCCACCACTACCCCAGCACCATCCAAGCTGTTCGGTGGCGCCTCCTCGGTCGGACTCTTTGGCGGCTCAACCAAGCCAGCTAGTTCGACCAGCATTTTTGGGGCACCCTCTCAGACCCCCGCAAGGAAGTCGCCAGACATCAAAGTTGAACCTGATTCGACAACGCCTCTGCCACCTGATACCACAAGTAAGACGCCCTTCAACCTTTTTGATTCATCTGGATCATCGGCCTCCACAACCAGGACTCGCGGGTCGGTGCCAGCATCACCCACCAAAGTCAAGGTTTCTGACCCTCCATCGTTTGTAGAAACTCGTACCCAACCTAGCCCAGAGCCTACAGCAATCCCAGAGGAAGCGCCGCTCCCGCCAGACCCCATCAAGGAGAAGTCCATATACAAGCTGGACAACCTTCCTCCCCCGCCGGGCGTCTTGCCTGCAAAGCCTCCTCCGGTCTCGACGTCATCGCCTAAACTGCCAAAGGAAGAAGACGTAGCCGAAAAGCCTATCCCTAGCAGTTCCGATGATGACGAAGGTGACCTGTCGGAGCTCGACGAGGACGAGGAAGAATCTGGGGACGACGGCGGCGAAGGCTCGGCCGGTGAGAGCGAAGGTAGTGGCGTCGACGTGGCCAAGGACCTCAGTCCGACGGCAACCACCGGCTTTCCCGGATTCACCCCTCAGAGCTCCTTTGGCGGCGTTGGGGGTAGTGTGTTTTCACTGACCCCGGCCGCAGACCCACCACCGGGCACCCGTCGGCTGTTTGGTGATATCAACCCACCACTATTCTCTCAACCGCTCACAACAAGTCCACGTTCGCCCAGCCCGGTCCGCGGTGCCGTGCCCCCACGAGTGTTCAGGTCGGAGTCGCGCTCGGTCAGCGCTCCCGGGATGGCGTCGCAGATTCTGGGCGCCTCCAGACAGCCCTCAGTTCGCGGCCTTTCCGCCACAGCCAGGTCGACGGCGACGGCACCTCCAAGGCGTGTCACCCCTGACCCCAATGTCGAAGAGCAGAGAAAGGCACAGGCCAGGAAGGCGGCCGAGGAATCACAAACCCTATCAGATCAAGACGACGAGTGGTTGCAGGAGTATCTCAACGAGCCTCCCCAACCGACGTTGCACCTCGCTGAATTTGCTACGAGTGCAGGCAACGTGCCCGAAGCCGGAAGGACGGTGGCTGAGCAAAACGAGGTGCTCTTCCGCGACATCAACCGAATGGTGGATACACTCGGCCTCAATGCGCGCCATCTCAAGGAGTACATCCTTGGGCACATGGGCAAGCTCAGACAGTATTCTGACTCGTCGCGAAAGAGCCGGCATGACTTGGACTTCCCAGATGATTGGCTGCTGTGCGACGCCGAAGACGTGGACCAAATATTGACCCAGGAGTTACGGGATGAGCTCGAGGATGGTCGCGTGAAAGATCTGGAGAGCACGATGGAGGCATGCAAAGAGCTGAGCCGAGGTCTTGCGCGGCTGCGGGTAAAGGAAATGGATCTCAAGAAGAATATCGCGGCACGTATGGACCCAGAGCAGACATCGGCGCTGCGGTCCCTTCCGCTGAGTGCGGAGCAGGCAGCGCAGCAGGCAGATCTACGGAAGCAGTTTACAGCATTCTCGAAACTGCTGGTTGAGGCCGAAGAGTCTCTCACGATGCTGCGCGCTCGGATGGCCACGGCCGGGGCCGGCCTCGGGACCGGACCGGGCCGGAAGAGCCTGGCCGGCGGCGGTGGGGCTGGAAGCAGCCATGCGACGGCGGCGCCCACGGTGGAACAGGTCATGCGCACGGTCATGAAGATGACGAGCATGGTCGAGAAGCGCAGCGGCGACGTGGACGTGCTGGAGAACCAGCTACGCAAGCTCCGGCTCCAGGGATCTGTCGGCCCCGGCAGCCGGGACAACTCGCCCTTCACGACGCCGCAGAAGCGCATGTCGCGGACCATCTTCTCGCCGGGGGCGCTGGGGTCGTCGGTCATGTCGTACAACGGGAGCCCCGGCACGCTCGGGCCGTCGCCGCGCAAGAAGCTGAGCGGGTATACGGAGCCGGAGAAGGCGCAGATCCGGGGCAGGCTGCAGAAGCGCGGCGCGGCGATCGCGCGGTTGAGGGGCAGCGTCCAGCGGGCGGGGCCGAACGTCTGGCACATGACCGATGACGACTGAAGGCCTCGAACAATATTTTGGTTTGCAAGGGCCCCTCCCCTAGAAGCGTGGCACGTTGCGTGCAATGGTACATTTGGGATGGTATGGCTGGGGAAGCGAAACATGTGTATTTTTGTTTAAACCCATCATGTCGGAGCAACCGCGGAGAAGATGGCTCTTTTGATAGCGCATTAATCTTTCTCGTATCCTTTGCTTTCGGTATCACTACACGAACAACATATCAGCGTTTATGTATTGTGCCAAAGTGAGAGCATGTGTTGATGCAACTGTCAAACGAGGACATCTCGGAGCTTCTGGTGTAATGGATCTAGCAGGCTACACCACCACATTGGCCACGAACCGGGGCACACCCACCACCAAAAAGGTGCCAGTTTTACAGCTGTAGGTCCCAGGAATTAACATCGTCGGTGTTATGGGCTTCCTCATTTTTGTTTTTTTTTTTCCTTTTTCTTTTCATTCCTTTTAGTATTCGTTATTCCTGCTTTTATAATCCTCGCAGCCTTCCTCTTATTCAGGTGGGACTGCCTCTTTTTTTTGTCGTCAGCGTGCCGGGGGTCGCGCTCGGCTGCCAGCACGCGTGATATTTCATCGACAAGAGGCATTTACACCTCACCCATAACGACCGCCTGCATGTGGTCCATTCATCTCCCCTCGCTGCTGAGTAGGTGGGAGGGCCCACCGACAAAGGGTGAGAAACAGGATTTTTCAACCTGTAGCCTCGGCGCAGAAAGGGTCCTTTCGAGGAATATAAGACCAGCAGCAGTATAGGTAGCATCGGATCTTTGCGACGGCGAAGAGTGTGGGCGTCCCGGGGACCCTGAAAATACGGATAGCGCCGCTAGTAGCTTTGAAATCTGGGAACGGAGTGTTTTTTTTTTCTTCCTATTTTGTTTCTCTCCCTCGTTCTATGTCTCGCTTGTCCATTCCCTCTCTGCCCGTTTACCAGACCGCCTTTCCTCCCCTTGCCACGCAGTCCACCGTCGTCCCTTTTTATGTACGCACGTACCCGAGCTAGAGTAAACAAAACCATGGCGTGCGCATGTTCCCCGGCTTCGCTTGTCCCCGCCCGCCCTTCTCGGGACCAAACTGTTCCCCATCGGCCGCATCGGTCGGCGGAGAAAGAGGATGGAGACGGCCCACGGGTGTTGGTGGGAGGGCTCACCAGTTCGACTTCCAATGGATGTGTATCAATGTGCTGAAATCATGGCGCTCGACATGTCTATCCCGCCGCTTTTATCGGACGGTATCGACTATGCGCCAGCAATATGCAGCAGCGGAGCACTTGGGGGTGGTGTGCGCGCACGTGTGATGCTAGCCTATCAAATGGTCGGGGCCACAGCCCTCGAAGTGGGCTGCTGTCAACATCGTGGCCCCAAAGAGACCATGCCAGCGCGCACACCACATCCACGCAGACCTGTCATTGCTAGGTGGGCAGCAAAAAAAAAAAAGGGTAAAACAAAACGCAAGGGAGACGGACTCGAGCACGCCAGAAGCGTTGAGCCAGGGGAAGGCCGAAGTCTACCAAAAGTGGACATTTTGCTTGGAGGGATTCCCAGAGGAGCAGCATGCACTGGGCGGGTTGCGGCGGCCAAGCTACTGCAAGCTACTGCAAGCCTAGACGCGCGACTGACAGGTCCTGTCCTGTCCTTTTCCATGTCACCATGTGCGGTCATGGAAGTACAGCGATCCATCTGCCAGCACCGCAGAGGTGGTGGTGGTTGCCGACCTTGGCTGGACACAGTGTGTGCGCAAAGCTGCCCGCCCTGGCCGCGGCCAGAGTGGGGACCAAAAGGTGGGGCACGGCGGAAAACGCGAGGGGGACGCGAACAAGACGCGTCGGCGGGTCCTTCCCGGGTCTCGTTTGTCGGCCCTCGTTCAATTGACGCCTAGGGCTGGAAGCCATCATGCGTCGGCCGTCGTCGGGCAGGAGCACACACAGGTTCCCCAATCACATGCACACCTACCCAGCTAAGGTACCTGGACCTTTTGGTGAGTGGGGTGTGGGCATGGCAACTGACGGGGAGACCGGGACAGCCTGCCAGCCTCTCGAATTCGCGAGGCGGCCGAGCGTGCGTGGTAGAGATGGCCGCCGTCGGCTTCCTTGCTGAGAATGCGTTCGTGCATGCAGACACGCCTTGCCTGTTCGGAGGAAGGGTGGTATCAAACGGGCGCGGCAGGTCGAGACAGGATGAGAGGACAAGGGAGGAGAAGAAAAAAGCCGACTGGCAGGTTGGACTGCAGTACGCCCCCCCCTCTTCCCTGGCCCAGAGGCGGCGGCCGGGTGGACCAAGGAGGGAGGAGAGGTGCGGAAAAGAAAAGAGCAAAGCTCACTGGCGCGGCTTCATCTGCGGTTTGATTTGGGAGAGGGATTAGTCTGGCACGTCTGGCCACCCAGAGCCTCTGCAGGCCTGCCCATCTCTCCCATCCACCCATCCAACCATCCAAACCGCGGGCGTCTCTCTTGCATAAACTGATGGGCCGCCGTCGCGGACATGTTGTCATCAAGGGCAGGAGGCCGAGCCATTGGCATCCGGAACGTGCATGCGTTGGGTTGTCGAGACATATGCCTCAGATGAGGAGGCAAGCTCTCAGGGTGAGTTGACCGTGCTGCTCCCGCCCGCGCCCACCACCAGCCCAAGGTAACTCCCAAGGTGCCAGTCGTGGGCCAATGGGTGTGGAGGGGCCGCCACCTGGTCCCCGCGCCGTTGCAATCGTCCTGCTGGCCAATGGAGCAACCGTCGCTGCATCTTCTTCTCTGGCCCACTCCCGTGTTTGTTCTCGGTTCTTGCATCGCTGCACTGCTGCCAAGTGGGTGCATCAAGCCTAGCCCGAGTTGGGATTCTCCCCGTGCGACGATGGCCTTGGTGTGCTCTCGACTTAGACTGTATCTGCTTTGGCCGCGTGGGATGGCTGTGTACGGTGTCTAATAGGCTGGGGGCATCCTCCCCTGTCACCATTCCTGCCCAGACCGTACCGGCTTGGGGGGGCTGCTGGCGGCTCGCAACAGAAATACAACTCTGTGATAGCGGAAATAAAACACGAGACGACGAGTCGATCCGGCAGTTCGAGCCCGTTGTGCCCGCCTGCAAAGACATAATCCTGAAAAGCCAGCATGCCCTGCTCCACCGCTTGGAAGCACACGGCGAGATGGGGAGTCTGGTCTCGTCCAGAACTGCGTGCCGCGGCGCACCACGGGGAGCAACAAATCTCGATTATCGATTCTTCCATGTTTGGACATGCATGAATAAGACCTCAAGCTATCTGCCAGCTTCGATACTTGGCCAGAACCTTTGCTGATTGGCTGCCAGGGCGGGGCTCACAGTGCGGTCCCCTCCGAGGACAAGATGGGAGGATAGGGCCTTCCTCGCACAACGCATCACCGCACGACAAGCACCGCCCATCGCATCCACATTTGTCGCCTGTTAGCGCCTTCCCACCCCGGTCCTGGGTGCCTCGACTTTATCCTCAATGCTTTCCCCTCTGGGTGCTGCAGATTTGCTCTTGTTTTCTGAAAGCTGACAACCAAACTGCTCTGCTGCAGAGAGCTGCATTCGCTTCATGTTCTATTTTATTCAATTCTTTGTCCGTCCCGTTTGCCTCGTTTTTACTCTCAGCCGTCCCATATCGACTTAGTCGCGCTTTCTCTCTCTCTCTCTCCCTCTCTCTATTTCTATTTCTTTAGTCGCTGTTTCCAGAAGCTCCCCTCATGCACTCCTGGCATATCTCGTTGACTTCCTATCGCATCGCATCGCATCGCAGCGCATCCGCTTTCGGGCAGGGGTGGCCGTCCGATAATATTACGTGCACACCAAGGGCCAAGGGGGGACCCAGGCAAGCCGTTAAACATCTTACATCCCTCGCACGCCGTGCACCCACCCACGGGGCCCCTTTTCTTCTTTGGCTTCTGAGACAACAGGACCATCGCGCCTTTGTTCTGCCTCGTGCGCTTGTGTGAGCACCCACGGGCTGTGGCGTTGCTCTAGGTCGTCCTTTGGCTTTCTTTGCCCGGGATCCAGCCATCCAATTTGTCCTGTTGTCGCCATTCCTGCCGCCCATGTTCTGGCCCAGGCGCTAGCCTACCGCAACCTAGCCGGGATCGCCTGCTGAGGATCGTCTTGTTTATCAACACAACCCCCTCCATCCTCCGAAATCACGCCCTTGACAAAAACAGCCGGCCGACAACGGGAGCGTGCTGTGTTGCGCATGTCGCGTGTCTTTTGCCACATTCATCCGCATCTCATTATTGCCGCTTAATCCCTACATGACGACGCGTCCATCATCGCATTCCAACCGGCGCAGGATCCCAAGAAATGATGGCATCCTCGCCTCTCACCGGCCCGATACCATCCCTAGCCCCCATGGCGCCGTTGCGCGTGGCGCGCTGTGGCACGCCTAGGACTCCCGAGCCCATGGCAAGGGATGGTGGCTCTCATTCGAGGGCGCCGTCACCACCGCGCCCGCGCTTCAAGCTCAAGCGCCGAGCTGTCTCGGCCCAGAACCCCCTCTCGGCTCCCACGCAGCACTTCCTCGCGTCGGTCGCCGCCGCCGATATCCCGATTCCCAGCATCGAAGAGCCTGAAATTGCGGCGGACCATGACGTTGACATGGCGTGCGCGTTTGTTGACATAAGCCGCCACAGTCTCATGTCGCACGAGAACGATGATGATATGGACCACGACCTGTCACTGAATTTGCGAGGCCGCCAGTTCTCAATCCCCAAGACGCCCGCGCCCTGTATCGCGCCCTCTCTTTCACCCAATAGGTACCCCAACTGGTCCACGGGCTCGGCGTTTAGCAGCTCCACCGATGGCGAATCTAGCCCCGAACCAGACTTCTCCTCCCTAAGCAGGCCATCGACATCTCGCTCCACCTACACAAACGCGTCTCTTTTCAGTCGCCTCTCGCATTTCTCCGATTTCAGCCCAGAACCCGAGTCTGTCAAGCAATCGATGCAAGATGTAGAATCGCAGGACGCGACCAGCGCGCATGCCCGCGGGAGGAGTCGGAGGGCGCCGTGGACCAAGCCCATGAGCTCGCACCTGTGGGCAACTTACATGATGTACCTGCAAGACCCGAGGGTGACACCATTTCGTACTGGCAAGGGCTGCATCCCGCCACATGGCGTGTGCCTCAGGGTCGCCCGGGAGGCCAAAAAAAGCTGGAAGGGGTCCAAGGCCTCCAAGAGGACGGACCCTACGGATTCTTTGAAGAGTGGAAGCTCAACACCGGTCGCAAACGCGACCGGAACCTTCATCGAATGGCCACACACGTGCGCCGCCACCAGAAAGCACCTCCGCGAGCTCTGCAAGCTGAGGGCAGCTGCCCCTGGAGGAGGCCTAGGCCTTCGGTACATGTCGCGAAGCCCAACACCCTTCGTGCACGCGGCCACGCGCCACTGGAATCACCGGTCGACTCCCGTCCAGCCCACTGGCTCGGCATTTGCCACCAACGACATTGCCATGTCGCTGGCCCTGAGTACAGCAGACTCTATGCAGCCGAATGGTCCCCTCGCGAAGCTAGCCGGCTCCGATGTTGCCACGCCCCAGCCAGCAGCCGCGAAGCCAATAGCCATGAAAACTCCCCAAAAGCCAATGGTAACTCCCGACCACGCGCCTCCGCCGCCGAACAACCGGACCCAGTGGGCGCCCCGGCAGCCCTCGTTTTCCTTTGACCAGCCGCGGCGACTTGGCTCGCCGTTTGTCGTCCCAAACAGCTACGGGCCAAGCTCGACCACTTCGCTAGCTGCAGTTTTGGGTCTTTCCGCAGGCAGCGCGTACACAACGCGACAGGCCCCGTCCAGCGCCGTGGGTCAGCGTCGCGCCACGCTGCAGTCTCCCGCGCGGCTCAGCAGCCGTGCAGGCATGCATAAGAGGCGCAGTACAGCCTTGGCTGGCGGCAGGGCGTCGCAGCATGAGATGCGCCGCAAACGACCCAGCCTGGGGAGTGACTTTTGGACCGACCCGACAAAAGGGAACATGTCGTCATCGTCAGCGGGCGACCACGTGCCCAGTGATGCGGAGATGACCGCCGCCACCTTTGGACAGGCGCCACCGAGCGCAAGCTCGTCCATGGACTTTTCCATTCCCCGGACCACAGGCTCCCTCGGATCGTCCCTGGCCGACCGAAGCCACCAGCCACAACGCCAGGCTCCGCCGTCCCTGCCCACAACTCCTCCCAGCAGGGCACAGCTGGCCCCACCTGCGAACCCGCCACCTCGGCTCGGGTCGCCATTCTCCATGACCAGCACGTCCTTCAGCTTCCCAAATCGCATGTTCCAACCGACCTCGGAGGCCCGAAATGACGCCGATGTGTTTTTGAGTGGCCCGCGCAACAGGTCCTACTCCACCGTGCACACGTACCAGCCTCCGATGGCGCAACCTACGTTTTTCAGCTCGGGACAAGGTGCTGTCGTAGCTGGCCGTGTACGTGCTCGTGCGCCTTCGGCTGCTGCCATTGAGGGCCGCGCTCCCGGACGCGACAACTTGGCACGGCGGCTGGCATACATCGACGACCGGCTGAAGGAGCTGCGGAGCCGAGATCTCAACCAGCGCGGATCGGAGTCGCCCTTCTGATCTTGCACGTCGTTGCCCTGCCCTTGGCGAAATAAAGAAACAGGGGACGCACCCTACCCACTCGTTCAAACTCCGCATGGATACCATATCTCTTTTGTTTTCACGACACTCTTATGATGACCAGATACCGCTTCGGATGGCAATAGCAGCCTTCGGACGACGCAGCATTTACGCCGGTTTATGTGGTTGAAGATGTCACTCAACCCCCTAATCGACTAATATCCACCTCCCTCGGGCAGCATTTCCATGATGCCCGAGGGGGATTGACGGCTACTGTTCACTTGTTTCCAACCGAGTTCCCGGCCTTCGTCCCTCCGGGGCCTTCTTCTTGTCACTTCCTTATTCTTACTCGCTGTTTTTTTTCTCTCATTTTCCGGCTTTTATTTCCGGGTTTCATCTCTCTCGACCTTTTGTCTCGCTCGTATTTGTTGCCACTCTGCATTCGATCATATTGACAAGGACACTTGCGTCTCATAGTACAGTATTTCTGGACCATTTGTCAGGCTCTGTTCTTTTGCATACGTTATTCTCGTCGCGGGGCTTCAAGTCAACTTGATCACTTGTATCTTTTTCTTTCCGAATACGTGCAAGATCTTGGCGGAGCTCGTCATTCAGACGATCGACCCCAAGAAGGCGAAGAGCTCACGATACGATATGATTATGACCTAGTTTCTTGTTATTGCTTTATCGTTGCGATTTATCTTCTGCCGTCCAAGCTTTTTCTATGCCATGGTTCGGTGCTATTTTTCTTCCTTTTCTTCACATTTTCCGTACCCGCTTCCTTCGCGTTCTGGCTCCTTAATTCCGCGGCACCCTGGGTCAAGGGCTTTCGCACCTTGCATTGCAAACTTCATACGTATCATGATTCGGAGTTATTGCAGGGAGGCTCACGGCAAGGAATCGGCCCTTGCCATTGATGCTTCTTCTTTTATCTTGCTCTTATTCAAAAGTTATGACGACACGACCAGATTAGTTCTTACCTAGAGGCCACCGCAATAGTGGTACTTTTGGCGGTCCTCACATGATAGCTCTACTCCAGGCATGGACATGTTTTTACGATTCAATGAAAAGTCGAGTTGTTCACCTGACACAATGGCATTCCACCGATGTTGGCGGAAATGAAGGTCGGAGATTCTTGGCAACGTGCGGCGCAAGTGGGGTCGAAGCCCCGGATTAGCTTTGGGAGCGAGCCAATAGGGTGCCGGGAACTGACAGGGATTATCAGCCTCAGCTGGCTTTCCGGTACCATGCCCCTTTTTCGAGCTCGTCAGGTTGAGGTTGCTGGCCTAAGCTTGCGACCAAGTATAAGCACCGACGACAATCCTCTGCCTGCCAGCACATTGCATGGCCCACCCCAAACCCGCTGTCATGAGTTAGAGGCGACGACATCTAGCAGCAGCAGCAGCAGCAGCAGCCAAGATCAAGCCAAGAGAGAGCCTACGCCGAGCGAGGGACAAGCGACAATGTGGGTTGCCGTGCCGGACCGCTGCCCCGGCCAGCGCCTGGCGACGCCGGCCCGATCGCCCGCCGCCCGCCTCCTGCCCCTCCTCGTCGCCGCCTGTCTCCTCCTCGGCGGCACCGTCCACGCCTCGGTCGGCGACCGACTTCCAGAGTTCCAGGACTGTGTCGAGGTTCGTGCCCTCCTGCGGTGCCCCGTGTCTTATTTGTGCCACCTTGGCCTCTCCTGGGCCCCTGGACGCATGGTCTGTCCACCATCCCAGACATCGCTGACCCGGCCGGCCCGCGCGTGTGCACATGCAGCTGTGCAAGCAAGAGAATTGCTATCCCGAGACGCTTGAGCACAAAAACAACATCCGTGAGCCTCCACCACCCGATCCCTTCTTCGCCGCCAAAGCCACCCACCCTGCTCCGCCCCCCAATGACCCGACGAGATGTGAGGGCGATTGTTGCAGGGGACACTCGGGGGGAGGTGTTTGTGTAGGCGTGCACAAAAGCGCACCGTGAAAAAATAATAAAGATGTCTCGGAAGTTGGCTGGCTGCATGGGCCGATAGAAGGAACCCGCTCGCTGACCGCCAGCCCGTGAGGGAAAAAACCATGACAGCACGCATCCACCGGCTCCTCCGCTGGACCTGCCCGGACGAGTGCGACTACACGTGCCAGCACATCATCACGGCGTCGCGCCTGGGAGCGGGCTACCCCGTGGTGCAGTTCCACGGCAAGTGGCCGTTCCAGCGCTTCCTGGGCGCGCAGGAGCCGCTCTCGGTCATCTTCTCGGCCGGCAACCTGTGGGCCCACGCCTCGGGCCTGCGCCAGCTCCGCCGGCGCGTCCCGGGTTCGTACTCGCTCCGCCGCTTCTACGTCGGCTTCGCGCTCGCCGGCCTGTCGGCCTGGACCTTCAGCATCATCTTCCACACGCGCGACTCGCGCGCCACGGAGCAGCTCGACTACTTCGCCGCCGGCGCCTCGGTCCTGTACGGCCTCTTCCTCGCCGTCGTGCGCATCTTCCGCCTCGACCGCCGCCGCCGCTCCAGCGAGGCCATCTCGGTCCCCTCCACCCCGGACTCCGGGTCCGCCATCGGCCGGGGCGGCGGCGGCGGCGGCGGGTCCAGGTCGTCGACCTCGTCCCCGGGCCTGCTGCGGGTCTGGATGGCCGTGTGCCTGACGGCTTATGCCTGCCACGTGGCCTACCTCAAGCTCGTGCGCTGGGACTACACGTACAACATGGCCGCCAACGTGGCCGTCGGCGTTGTCCAGAACCTGCTGTGGAGCTGGTTCTCGTGGACCCGCTACCGCCGCGAGCGCCGCGCCTGGGCCGCCTACCCGGGCCTGACCGTCGCCTGGATCACCATGGCTATGAGCCTCGAGCTGTTCGACTTTCCGCCCTTGTGGGGGGCCCTCGACGCCCATAGCCTTTGGCACCTGGGCACCATTGGTCCCACCATGCTGTGGTACAAGTGAGTGCTTTTTTTCCCCACTTCCACCTCTACCATTCCGCGTCGATACCTGCGCCATCTGCTGACAATCGGATAATCACGTGACTCGCAGCTTTCTAGTGAAAGACTCGCTGGACGACATTGCCGCGGCCCCCAGGCTCAAGGAATGACTATTATAGAGCGGGATTTTCCCTCATCAAAGCCGTCCCCTTGTCGGCACGGATCCGTGATTATTGACTGTCTGCTGTTTCGAGAGGAACGCAACAAGGAGACGACCGCCCGTGTGTTGGTGCTGTATACTAGTATCCCTTAGAGGAAGTAATAGCAAAAATAAGACATTTGTGTTGCATCATTATGACCTGCGCGAGCACCCGGAAGGGTGGGGATCCGACACACCGCGCACCCGTGTATCCCAGAGAGGAAGGCATAGGATTTGGTGATCACGCTTGTGTACGGTATATATAACCAGTCTCCGGACTCCCCTCTGACAGATTGATATTTTCTGCTTGATGCACAATATGAGGATCCTCTCACAGATCACGACGATCATTGATCATTTCCTTCGGGATCTCCCGTCCGCCAGGCACTTTCTTTGCTCGAAGAGTCTAGATTCTTCTTGAAAGCCCTAGAACATGAAGCACCACCACGGGCTCGTTCCGGATGTCGGTAGGACTAAAATCGAATTTGCGCTTTGTTTTCCCCGCATCTCGTATATCAACAGGAGGCAAGAGGCTGACGCCGCAGTATTGACTTCTGTTGAGTCAAGCCTGGCAAGTTTCGGTATACCTCTTGAAAGGGCTCATCACCCACAGGTAAAAAAAAAAAAAGAGACATGTCCAATTTGATGACAACAGGCTTTCGCATCGGAACCCCTCGATGTTATCTCCTCGTGCGCCAAAAGGAGCACGTCCGACAAGTACAGGATTCCGCGGATGTATTTGAACGATTTCTTATGGAGCAGCATCACATTAAATCAGCATATTCTTCGGACCGGCCGGTTACCGTGATGAGAGCGACAGTGCCTTGGCTAGTGACAATCGCCATTTTACTCACTGCCGCGTGTGCATCTCACAGTCCAGGAGCTCGATATCAAAGAAGCATGGCGACATTGACCGCGCGGACGCACAGGAGAAGCCTCACCAAGACAGGCGACGAGGTTGAGGTACAATCACTGCCGAGGCTAAAAAAAACCGCATGACCCGACCCATCTACGACATCTACACGGAATCACAGTCCTGACTATTGACCCCATGCCACATAGACACGGAGGAATATGAAAAGCCATGGACGTTCCAAGGAATCGAACACTACGGCATCATTAGGCATCCAGGTGGCAACTTCCCTACCCACTTTATCATGCACGGGACAGGGAGACCATGAAAGCCGACTTGCAGGACAAAGTCAGGCAATGCAACTTTTCTTTTGGACACCGCGCCGCCCCCTGTAAGGAATCCAATTTGAACTCGTACCTAGAAGCTTGTATCTGAGGTTTTATGTTGATCTTTCCCCGTCTTCGAGTGAATTCCTACCCTAGTCTCTAAACGCGGCGCCATGATGGGCGCGAGGCTGCGCAGCCAGGCTCACCAATGGCGAAATAAGCCTCCCACCAGCTCCCGTTGCATTCTACTCCAGCGAATGAATATATTCCCACAACGGTCATCCAAGTCAGTCCGTTATTCCCATCTCACGCTCATCTGCTATGGGCCCACATCCCCCTGATGAAACGCATCAACACGAGCTACGCAGGCGCCGGGCCGTCCATCTGTGCCTCACGCAGACGCTCGAGCTGACAGAGAAAAAACACACACCAGGAGACGCGGGACTTGGAACGGCGGCAGAGGGGAGCCGGTCGGTAGGTAGGTAACTAAAAGGGGAGATTGCTGCAGGAGATGTGATGGGTCCACAGCGCCGCCGGCCCCCCTCTCCTCTCACCTTTTCGGCGACAATGTTTCACTGAAGACACAAGCGTCGAATCTATGCGTTGTGTGCGGCCAGGGGCAAGAGCGGAGGGTGGTGTGGTGTGACTCGGAATGGGTGGGCAAGCACCATGCTGTGGACGAGTTGAACTCGGTGGCGCAGCCCACTCATGCGGGCAGCAGGTCGCTGCCGTTTCCCAGGGACGATCAGGCGGCTCCGCGGCACCAAGAGCGAGCGACCTTGCATGGCGGAGGTGCGGCTACTGCATGCTACGCGGATGTGTTCCTCCTGCCTGTGCCTAGGTTGCTGGGTACCTGCCTGCCCCTACGTACATAGCTACCTAGCTCTGCCATTGGCCGGCGGCACGGCAGTATTGAACGTTGGATACGCCCTTCGCTACGTCGTGCGTACCTGGATATCGTGGGGTGAGAGGGGGGCAAGAGGGATGTCACCATAAAACCTTGAATCTTTTTTTGGCACAGCCCACTCATACCTCCCGCACACCGTTGGACAGGGCCAGGGCTGATGGGATGGCATGCCAAGAAAAGGGGACTCCCGAGGGGTTGGGATTGGGATGGAGGGGCTGGCTGCATGATCTCTGTCCTGTGCCTGGACGATGGCGAATGGAAAGGGAACTTGTAGTGTCCATGCGACAATTCATAGAGCAGAAAAATCGGCGTGTTCTTTGAAGTAAGTACTCGCATGTATGCATGGACAAGGAAGTAGTTAGTGGCCAACAACAGAAAAAATCGCAGAGAAACATAACGGGGATCCGGTGAGATGACGCTGCCTGTCATCACCCAGCCTGCAGATAGCGTAGCGGGCGCTTGGGAGAGATCCTACGAGCTCCTGATATATTGAGGGATGTTGTTATGTTTAGACCAGCGTTCCCGCGGCCTCATGTCGGGCCCTCGTGGATCGTCCGCCAACAGAGTGACGCTGAGGATCTGCCATCTCGCACATGAGGGGTCTACCAGGTGTGGTGTGCGTGTGCGCGGGGGCCAGAAGCCCTGGGCAACAGGAACAGTGGTCATCGATAAGGCTACGGGGGGCAGGCAGGCAGGCAGGCAGGTCATGTGAACGCATTGTGGAATGTTTCCGGAAAGGGTAAGGTGGGGTTGCATTGCGTCCGGTTGGCGTGCGTAAGCGTGACCCGATGTGATATTTTTGGATCACAACCCTCTCCGCTGCCCAGAAAGACTGAGATTCTACCCCACGCCCGTCGCCCGCCTGAGTCGCGTCGCATTAGCGAACAAGCGACAAGAGTCGCTGGTCTGCGAGAAGAATCTTTTGAGCACATATTTTTTTGCGAATTTCTCCCAACCGCTCGCTGTATGGCCCAGTTCGATGATTACCACCCCTCCCAACGAAGGGTCTGGGAGCCGAGCGCGATTGGCTCCAACAAGCGCCCGAGTTGCTTCCAAAAAAATATGCCAAAAATAGCAACCAGCCGATAGCCCTTCCTCACCACTTTGTTTTTTCCTTTTTTTCCTATCCTCTCGCTCTGCTTGGCCCCCTCAGCACCCTCGGCCGTCCGCTAGCCCGCGTGTCCGCCCGAGTCCGGCTGGCAGGCCGACGAGTTGGCCCAAGCCAACCTTCTTTCTCAACCCTCCTCATGCGGCATTTAGGTTGGCCCACCAAACGTTTCATTGCAACCTCGATATATTTGGGTGTTTGCAGTCGAGCCGCGTGCCCTGTCTTTTTCTTGTCCAGCCCAGCCGAGGCTGTTCCAGAATTGGATTTAAGCTACTCGGCCCCTGGTTGGGTCTTGTTTATGTGTATCATCGGGACGAGAAAAATCCTAATGCGGGAGCTGCGCATCTCCTCTTGAGCGCACTGAGCCCTGACCAGGGGAGGGGGAAGGGGGGAGGACCACCGCATGTGTGGAACCACCATGCACATGCGATCCAACCCGCTTCCACCGATCCAACTCGCTTCCACACACCACATGCGAGGCACATGGAGAGACTGCTGGCCCCGACTTCGCGTCACCCGCTCGCATTTCGTGGGGTTCACGCGAGCGGGCGTCCAGCGTTTCAACGCGCCCCATCTCCTTCCGAAGAGCTGCGGAATCGACGGACCTCGACTGCGAGCGAGGCCCACCGCCTCTGCTCTTCTGTTGCCTCGCGCCGTTGCCCATCAGGGGTTGGGCATGATGGCTCCCCGCTGCATGTTGGCGTCGGCTCTCGATGGGCGGGGGTGGAAGCGTCCCCTTCACGATAGTCCCTGGCCCAGGTGCTAGGTACCTAGTAGCGTTCGTTCAAGCAACCGCTAGTCCGCCACCATGCCCCTCTCCCCCTGGTGCATATTCTGTCCCCTGCTCGAAGCCCCATGATTGTTTTGGACTCGATAGCCGATGATAGTTTATATCCATTACATGGGAAACAACAACGTGATCGTCAACTAGAGAGAACATCTGCGACGCCTAGGCAAGCGGCGACGCCGACGCTGCTGGCTTGCCCTGGCGCGGCGAAATGTGAAAATTATGGGATGAGTCAAAGCACGACGGAGCGATCTCCCGGCGGCCGTCAGCAAAGAGAGGGAAATTGACATCGGTGGCTACGGGACCCGGCATGGGCCCCCTTGGCGCTTCCTCCAGTCCAAAGGCGGGAACCTGGCCGGGGAAGAAATAATGTCACAAAACGGACGGATGGTGCCACCGCAGCATGGATATTATTTTTGTCAGGACCGTTGCGCCCGCCCGCCGTCGATGGGCTGTCTGGGGGTCCAGGGGCAGGCCATTAAGGTGGGATGGCAAATGGCAGATGGAGATGGCAGATGGCAGATGGCCGTCAGCGCGGCCAAGTTGAAACGAACTCTGGGTTGTTGTCAGATTGTGACGAAGCTATGCTGTCTTGGCAATCTTGGTCGACCCTGGAGGAAAATACAGCCAGTCAGTGGCTGGCTGGCTGGCTATGTGGTGGTGTCTACCTGCAGGGTCCAGGGCCAGACTGGCGGCTCAAGCAGCCAGATCCCACAGGCCCATCGACTCGTCGAGGCACCTCCCGAGACAGACACGTGCTTTTTATCTGCTCTACATCCACGAGGTTCGATGAAAATTCTCCATTGTCGAACCGCTCGCGACTGGGCGCTATCATTGAGGACCATCTGGTCGGCACGGCTCGCGAGGTCACATCTGAAGGGTAGAAATAAGAAAAACAAAGTTTAAAAAAGGCCCCACCCCACGTTCGTCTGTCAATAGGCTTGTCCGCATGCTACGAACCTGCGACAGGTCCCACAAAGAAGCGCATTCCTGATACGCGACCCTAGCCTGGTGCGTCTTTTGGCATTTTCCACGCCGCGAACCGGCCGCCTGGGTTAGTTGGCATCTGCCAAGTGGGCGGGCTCCTGGGCAAATCTCACAAGCCAAGTTCGGCGGTTTGGAGCTAAAAGCGAATTTACTATGCTTGGCGTCGGTCTAGGCTGATGTGTATCGAGATCCGGTACGACACATCCATGGCTGGCCCTGAAACGAAAGAAAAAGAAAAAAAGAAG